GAAGGGGGGGGGGAGGGGTCACAGGTATCCCAAACCCTGCTGGTATCTGTAGTGACGCAGGGGCCAAAGTTTGGAAGCACAGCACCTGTTTTTTTTTATTGATGTAGGGGCCAATAGATGTAACCTGCTGGGTTCTGTAGTGACGTGGGGGCCAAAGGTTGGAAGCACAGCACCTGGTGGGGGCCACGGGTATCCCAAAAACTGCTGGATTCTCTATTGATGTAGGTACCAGAGGATGGAACCACAGCAGCAGCAGGTGGGGGTCACAGGTATCCCAAGCACTACTGTTTTTTTTTATTGATGCAGGGGCCAATAGATGGAACCACAGCACCTGGTGGGGGTCACAGGTATCCCAAATTCCCAGAAATGTTTAATGCTGGAAATTCTAATGTAGGCTGCAATGCTGGAACGGAGGGAAGGTTGGAGACACATATATATATATACACACACACACACACACACATTCACATTCTCTGTTTTACAGACAAGCAGTTAATATGTGACAAAGGATTCCCTCTGGGTTATATAAAGAGTTCAAACAATACACAATTTCCCCAGCGCTCTCAGCAGCTAATCAGCCCCAAAATACCACTCCCAACTGCCTACATGCTTCAGAGAAAAAGTGCGGTCACCGGCTGTCCTGTTTGGCAGCGATGCCTCGCTCATCACAAGACCGGCTGTCAGAATTTAGCATATACCTGCCCCAATATTCATTCACTTACAGGAATCTGACGCTCCAGACAGATGTTGAAGTGTTTCCTCTCTCCGGGTTTTAACCTGCGCAGCGGGATTCTCGTCTCCCCGATGAACTCGTTATGACTTAGTTTGTCTTCGTCACACACGGAGATCCTGCGAAAACAGAGCAGACGACATGACAGGGCACCCTATGGCCCCGACTTAAAGGGAGGTTCCGCCTTCTGAGGTTTAAAGGGAATTTCTACTTTTGCAGTCTGATTAGAGAAAGCCTCCTTCTATGTTGTCACCTCGTGTGCAGCTTGTGTTCTATTATGTATTCAGTTCAGTCATTTATTTCTGCTCCCCCGGGATAAAACTCGTCTCTCTCTTCTGGGGTTCTGTAGTATCCAGGGACTTGCTTTGTGTTGTATCCCAGAACAGAAATAAATAAATGAATGAAGAATTTCTGCTGCTGGGGGGACAGAATGACATCTGAAGAGCTCAGAAGGAAGCGTCTGAGAAAAGCAACAAAGCTAAAATATAGATTTTTTTTATTTCTTTTTAAAAAAAACACTTTTTTAATCACTTTTTTTTATTTTTTACATTTATTTTTTTACTTTTTTAATTTTTCATTTATCTTGTCATCTTTTACTTTTTTGTATTTGTTTATATTTTTTATTTATAAATATTTTCTTATTTTTTTTTTCTTATCATTTTTTACTTTTGATGTATTTATTTTTTTACTTTATTTTGTAATTTAATTATTTTCACTTAATTTTTGTGTTTATGTAATTCTTTTTTTAATCAATTTTTCTTTTCACTTAACTTTATTGCTATCACACAGGAGCTAACAAGCCCCTGTGTGATAGCATTTGGAGGTGACAGGTTCTCTTTATTGACCCTGTCACCTCCAATACAGGAGTTCTAGCGCAGCACTGCGCTGGAACTCCTGCGACAGGTGAGAGGGGAAGGCTGCGAGTGCAGCTCTCCCCCCTCACTGTATACACGGAGCGGCAGGGTTACTTTTAACCCTGAGGGGGGGGGGGGGTATACGGACAGCCTGCAGTCTAATTACAAGTGACATTGCCAAGATCACTTGTAGACAAACAAGTGGCTTCCCCTCATTTTGCCCTCCTTGTGCAAAGCAGGGCTAAATGTAGAAAACAAATTACCACCCAGCACCCGGAATTCCATGTTTCCAGGAGTCGGGAGACTTCAAACCTGTGCCGCCCCTCTGCTCCCTGCCGCCCCGAGGCCGCCGGGCCTCAGTGACCTTGTCGGGAATCCGGCCCTGACTTATAGTGAGTTACAAATGCAACAAATTGTCATCCGGAATCCTGATTGGTTGCTCACCGTAGAATCTTCTTTCCCATGTCTTCTGAGGTGATCCCGCAGTACGTCAGGCTTTCGTTCCAGGTGGGGTTCAGATTGTTTCGCACGGTGCGCGTCTTCAGCTTGTTCGCCTGAAAGAGGTGAGGAATGGATCAGCATCACTCCAAGTCATGAGAAGAAAATGACATGCGTTTCACGGGGCAGAATGGAGAGGAAAATGAATTTCAAAAGGGTAACAAAGATAACAAAAACGTCAAAGATTGTTTTTCCTGTGCAGGTGGGAAGACTTCTTGAGGGCCCTGTCACACCATCAGGAGTGCGTTCGGCCTCTGGAACGCAACCGGGCCGGTGGGAGGGGAGCACATTAGTGCCTGCGTTCCGGTCTAGTGCGATCTGCAAACAAAATGCTGCAAACACTATTTTTTGCAGATCGCACTGGGCCGGAACGCAGGCACTAATGTGCCACTGGTTCGGGGGTCGGAAATCGCACCACGGGCGGGGGGCGTGGCTGCGGTGCTATTGAGTTCAATGCACCGCCACTCCCCCTCTCGCCCCCCAAAAAACTGAGCTGGCCAGGTTGCGTTCCAGTGCGTTCCAGAACACACTGGAATGCACTCTTGATGGTGTGACTGGACCCTGAGGCCAGGTTCACACCATTTTCCGGACCAGATCTGGAACGGGGTGCATTGCGTTTTCCCGCTGCCACGTTCTGGAGCTGTTTTTTTTTGTTTTTTTTAGCTTACAATGGGCTTTAGGGTGCATTCCAGCGCATTTGCATGCGTTTTTAATGCGTTTCCAGTGTGTTCCAGTGCATTCCATACCAGACAAAATGAGACATGCAGTATTTTTTGGTCTGGAACGCACTGCATTGGTGTGAACAGGGGCCAGAAATGGCATAGGGATACATTAGGATGCATTTTGGGTCCGGAAGCAATCTGGTCTGGTCTGGAGATGATCTGGATGCAGTGGCGTCACCATTGTGCCACAGAGTGCCACCACTGGAGGGGTGACACCAAAATGACTGGCAGTCATTTTGGTGTCACCCATCACCCACCAGGTCCCCTCCTCTCTCTGCCAGGCGTCCATCACCAAGGCGACCGTGCATGCGCGATGACGTCACCCGGCCTCCGCTCCGTGGGGCACACCCGGCCTCGGACGCCCCTGTCTGGATGTGGTGTGAATGTGCCTTGACATAGGTGAGTGTTGAGCCTCTGTGTCTCCTCTGTGCACACTTCTGAGAGCCATGCACATCTTCACCAGGAACCTGCAATTGACATTGGGCTTTCATGAAATGCGTCCTCCTTGTACAAAAGAAGTTTAATGGTCAGTTCAGCCAAAAGGCATATTTTAATGTGGAACCTGCGTGCAGAGTCAGCCCTTGGCTTATTTGATGCTTCAACAGTGAGATCTCCTGAAAAAAAGATCTCTTACCATTTTATTTCATTACCGGCCACTCGGTGTATATAATAATCTGGCCACTCACTGTATAGTTCTGATTTCATTTGGAGGTAACTGTTCCTTTAAATGTATCTGTTTTTTCCTTTCAGTTATTTCCTCCAAATCTATGACCTGCCGGCCAATCGCTGCACCATCTTCCATTTTTTTTTTTATCTCAACCCCCGGCCGCCATGGTCTCGGACAGATAGCGCCAAGCGATGTATTATATGATTAGCATCGATCGAGGCACGGCTAGGGGAGCCCGGAATGGAACTGCGGAGACCGGCCCTTATTAGATCAGCACACAAATAAGGCATTAATAGGCGAGCGCAGAGGGGGCCTCATTCATCTGGGTCCTGATGCAGTGCACAGGGGCAGAGCGCTCTTAGGAGAGTGGCGGGTGATTACGAGGAAGCAAATATCGGAATAAAGGATTAAGTATACAATGTGGAGCAGTTAAACACGTGGAGCTTTGCCAGGGATAAAGAGCAGCTGGCACAGGGGCGGGTAGACACTCGGGGCACGCTGAAGGATATTTAAAGAATAACAGAGGACCACGAATTAGGGGTTCATGAAGACGTGGTACATTCCGATTTAAAGCCCAATCCAAGGCACAGCTTTGTTCTAACAAAATCTATTTTCCTAGTCTTACCTTCACCGTCCTGTTATGGCATTTGTGCCGAGGGTCTAAGACAGGGGTGGGGAACCTCCGGCCCTCCAGCTGTGGTGAAACTACAAATCCCATGATGCATCTGTCTCTGGGGGCCGTGCCTGTGGCTGTGAGAATCTTGCAATGCCTCATAAGATTTTGACATCCAGCCATTGCTCCGTTGGCCTCACACCCGTTGCCTGCTCTGGTTTCAAGAGGTCCCGGTGTCAACCCGGTCCTACCGATTCACCAGCTGGTCCAACTGACTCAAGCGCCTCCTCAAGAACCGTCCAGCCACCAGTACCGGCACCTGTGCTCCACTCTCTCACTACTTCCAGAGTTGTGGGACGAGAGGTGCACGGGCAGCCCCCTTCTCAGCTGAGTCTCCAGCGCATGGAAGCGCACGGGTTAGCGTACAGGTGCATGCTCATTAGCTTGCACACTATCCTATATAAACAGACATGAAGCCATGACCAAGTTGCTGAGTGGTCTTCAGCTAGTCCCTGTGTGCCCTGTACTCTGTTGCTGTATCCTTACTTCCTGTGTATGAACCCGGCTTGTGACCATTTGACTCCGCCTCCTCCTCCTGATTCCGTACCTCTGATCTCCTGTGTATGACCCCAGCTTACGTTTCCTGACCCCCTGCTCCTGATCTGTGGCTCGGCACCTCAATATTCGGCTCCCTGTGTATGACCTTGGCTTGAACCTGACTTCCCTCCTAGGCCCCCTTCTCAGCAGAGTCTCCAGCCAGGTACGTGATACAGTGTAAAGATGTGGCACAGGAAATGTTTATTCCAGGAGCCGTACAATGGAACCCGGGACATCAGCCACTAATGGAGGAAAAAGAATTTTACAAGCAGTAGAAGAACCTGTTGCTGGGCAAAGCAACAGATTCCCATAATTAGCCGCTTCCCCGGCTGCCTATAATCACCTTCCACTTGTTCTCCCGCCGCTTCTGGCGCGATTGAATCCAAGCACGGCGCTGCTCCTATATCTGATCTTTTTTTAATTTATTTTTAATAACCCTGAAAATTTTTTCATATTTACCCTCTAAAAACCAAAGGCAATTTCTGTAAATGTGATTTATTAATAGCGGCCTTTGAAGCTAGACCCGCGATTGATTTTTTTCCCCCGTCTGTACCCCGGGCGTTCTGGCCATGTATCCTGCCTGGCACACAGCCAGGCATATGTCACAGCGGGCCAGAGGTACGGATCACACGCGCGGCCTTGGAAGTCGTCGTATAATGAGCCTTTGGGCACAGAGAGAGGTGGCATCATTACAGAACCGCACCTGCCATCCTTCAGTTGGATCCGATGGCTCGTGTGAAGACTCGCTGCTTTATATTCAAGGATACCAAGATAAAAAGATTTTGGAAATGTTCGGTAGTTTTGATTTGTAGACTGTATGGCTCGAAAGTATGTGGACCCCCCCTCTCCAAATGATTGAGTTGAGGCATTTCCAATGGAGGGTGATGTTAATGCTAAAACATACAAAGACATTGTAGACTGCTGTGCTCTCCCATCCTTGTGGTCACAGTTTGGTGAAGACCCTTTTCTGTTCCACCATGACTGTCCCCTCTGTACAGAGACAGCTCCATAAAGATATGGTGTGACCAGTTTGTGAAGGCCACTCAAGTTCCTCCACACCAGAGCCCTGATCTCAACCCTATGGAACACCTTATGGAACACAGGGGATCCATAGGAATTATTGATTTAAGGTGTACAAAGACATGGTGTAACCACTTTGGTGTGGAAGAACTTGAGTGTCCTCCACAGAGCCCTGACCTCAACCCTAGTGAACACCTTTGGGATGAATTGGAATGCCGATTGTGAGTCAGGTCTTCTCATCCAACATCAGCACCTGACCTCACAATGGGACACAAAATCCCACACAGAGCCTGGCCTCAACCCTACTGAATACCTTCAGTATCACTTGGAACGACAATTTTGAGTCAGGTCTTCTCGTCCAACTCAACCTAACAAATGGTTTTTGACTAAATGGCCAAAAATTCCCAGGCACCCTCCAAAATATTGTGAAAAGCCTTCCTAGGATAGTGCAGGCTGGTATAGCCACAAAGTGGGGGGCAACGCCATCAATGCCACCCATGGTCGTGGAATGGGATGTCCAACAAGCCCGTAAAGATGTGATGGCCAGATAGTCACATTCTTTGCCCATATACTGTCATTGGAAATGTAACAAAGCTATTCACAGCCCAATATCTGCAAGCCATGAGTCAACCAGTCTGAGCATTGATTGTTATGATATGGCTGAGTTGTCAATAGGTGACAGGTCCCCTTTACAGGCCTATCAGAGGAAAGTATAGGGAGAATTCATGACTGTCCATGATTGGACCTCCTAGGAGGGTCTTGGGGTTTGGTTTGTGGGAGGGAACATGTGCATTTAACGCAGGGAGGTCAATTCCCACATTGGGCATGCTGTCTAAACATGGAGGAGGAGTTCCATGGGGGTTGGAGAAGAAGGAGGAGTCCTACATGGCATGTGGGGAGGTGGCTGGAAGGTTCTACTCGGGGACAGATGCGAGGGAATCACATTAGACAGAGAGGGAATACGACATCTTCTGTACCTTGCAGGCTCCGGGAAGAAGGTGAATCTTCACATAGGGGTCGGCCAGGCCATTGAAATCCATTGGCTTCAGTCCCTGAAAAAGAGAAACTGAAAGTTAAATGTCTGCAGTTGATATTTGGTTGGAGTCACCGTGTCATAACCCTCCAACATCGGGGAGCCGATTATGACTATCCCCTATCTTTCCTCGGCAGAAATACTCTGCTGGAGGTCTCTGCTCCTTCCTCTATAACTCTCCTCTCCTGAGATACTCTGCCCTGCTGGAGGACTCTGCTCCTTCCTCTACAACTCTCCTCTCCTGATATCCTCTGCTCTGCTGGAGGACTCTGCTCCTTCCTCTACAACTCTCCTCTCCTGATATCCTCTGCTCTGCTGGAGGACTCTGCTCCTTCCTCTACAACTCTCCTCTCCTGATATCCTCTGCTCTGCTGGAGGACTCTGCTCCTTCCTCTACAACTCTCCTCTCCTGATATCCTCTGCTCTGCTGGAGGACTCTGCTCCTTCCTCTACAACTCTCCTCTCCTGATATCCTCTGCTCTGCTGGAGGACTCTGCTCCTTCCTCTACAACTCTCCTCTCCTGATATCCTCTGCTCTGCTGGAGGACTCTGCTCCTTCCTCTACAACTCTCCTCTCCTGATATCCTCTGCTCTGCTGGAGGACTCTGCTCCTTCCTCTACAACTCTCCTCTCCTGATATCCTCTGCTCTGCTGGAGGACTCTGCTCCTTCCTCTACAACTCTCCTCTCCTGATATCCTCTGCTCTGCTGGAGGACTCTGCTCCTTCCTCTACAACTCTCCTCTCCTGATATCCTCTGCTCTGCTGGAGGACTCTGCTCCTTCCTCTACAACTCTCCTCTCCTGATATCCTCTGCTCTGCTGGAGGACTCTGCTCCTTCCTCTACAACTCTCCTCTCCTGATATCCTCTGCTCTGCTGGAGGACTCTGCTCCTTCCTCTACAACTCTCCTCTCCTGATATCCTCTGCTCTGCTGGAGGACTCTGCTCCTTCCTCTACAACTCTCCTCTCCTGATATCCTCTGCTCTGCTGGAGGACTCTGCTCCTTCCTCTATAACTCTCCTCTCCTGATATACTCTCCTCTGCTGGAGGGCTCTGCTCCTTCCTCTATGTAACTCTCCTCTCCTGATATACTCTGCTCTGCTGGAGGACTCTGCTCCTTCCTCTACAACTCTCCTCTCCTGATATACTCTCCTCTGCTGGAGGGCTCTGCTCCTTCCTCTATAACTCTCCTCTCCTGACATACTCTGCTCTGCTGGAGGACTCTGCTCCTTCCTCTACAACTCTCCTCTCCTGATATACTCTCCTCTGCTGGAGGGCTCTGCTCCTTCCTCTATAACTCTCCTCTCCTGACATACTCTGCTCTGCTGGAGGACTCTGCTCCTTCCTCTACAACTCTCCTCTCCTGATATACTCTCCTCTGCTGGAGGGCTCTGCTCCTTCCTCTATAACTCTCCTCTCCTGACATACTCTGCTCTGCTGGAGGACTCTGCTCCTTCCTCTACAACTCTCCTCTCCTGATATACTCTCCTCTGCTGGAGGGCTCTGCTCCTTCCTCTATAACTCTCCTCTCCTGACATACTCTGCTCTGCTGGAGGACTCTGCTCCTTCCTCTACAACTCTCCTCTCCTGATATACTCTCCTCTGCTGGAGGGCTCTGCTCCTTCCTCTATAACTCTCCTCTCCTGACATACTCTGCTCTGCTGGAGGACTCTGCTCCTTCCTCTACAACTCTCCTCTCCTGATATACTCTCCTCTGCTGGAGGGCTCTGCTCCTTCCTCTATAACTCTCCTCTCCTGACATACTCTGCTCTGCTGGAGGACTCTGCTCCTTCCTCTACAACTCTCCTCTCCTGATATACTCTCCTCTGCTGGAGGGCTCTGCTCCTTCCTCTATAACTCTCCTCTCCTGACATACTCTGCTCTGCTGGAGGACTCTGCTCCTTCCTCTACAACTCTCCTCTCCTGATATACTCTCCTCTGCTGGAGGGCTCTGCTCCTTCCTCTATAACTCTCCTCTCCTGACATACTCTGCTCTGCTGGAGGACTCTGCTCCTTCCTCTACAACTCTCCTCTCCTGATATACTCTCCTCTGCTGGAGGGCTCTGCTCCTTCCTCTATAACTCTCCTCTCCTGACATACTCTGCTCTGCTGGAGGACTCTGCTCCTTCCTCTACAACTCTCCTCTCCTGATATACTCTCCTCTGCTGGAGGGCTCTGCTCCTTCCTCTATAACTCTCCTCTCCTGACATACTCTGCTCTGCTGGAGGACTCTGCTCCTTCCTCTACAACTCTCCTCTCCTGATATACTCTCCTCTGCTGGAGGGCTCTGCTCCTTCCTCTATAACTCTCCTCTCCTGACATACTCTGCTCTGCTGGAGGACTCTGCTCCTTCCTCTACAACTCTCCTCTCCTGATATACTCTCCTCTGCTGGAGGGCTCTGCTCCTTCCTCTATAACTCTCCTCTCCTGACATACTCTGCTCTGCTGGAGGACTCTGCTCCTTCCTCTACAACTCTCCTCTCCTGATATACTCTCCTCTGCTGGAGGGCTCTGCTCCTTCCTCTATAACTCTCCTCTCCTGACATACTCTGCTCTGCTGGAGGACTCTGCTCCTTCCTCTACAACTCTCCTCTCCTGATATACTCTCCTCTGCTGGAGGGCTCTGCTCCTTCCTCTATAACTCTCCTCTCCTGACATACTCTGCTCTGCTGGAGGACTCTGCTCCTTCCTCTACAACTCTCCTCTCCTGATATACTCTCCTCTGCTGGAGGGCTCTGCTCCTTCCTCTATAACTCTCCTCTCCTGACATACTCTGCTCTGCTGGAGGACTCTGCTCCTTCCTCTACAACTCTCCTCTCCTGATATACTCTCCTCTGCTGGAGGGCTCTGCTCCTTCCTCTATAACTCTCCTCTCCTGACATACTCTGCTCTGCTGGAGGACTCTGCTCCTTCCTCTACAACTCTCCTCTCCTGATATACTCTCCTCTGCTGGAGGGCTCTGCTCCTTCCTCTATAACTCTCCTCTCCTGACATACTCTGCTCTGCTGGAGGACTCTGCTCCTTCCTCTACAACTCTCCTCTCCTGATATACTCTCCTCTGCTGGAGGGCTCTGCTCCTTCCTCTATAACTCTCCTCTCCTGACATACTCTGCTCTGCTGGAGGACTCTGCTCCTTCCTCTACAACTCTCCTCTCCTGATATACTCTCCTCTGCTGGAGGGCTCTGCTCCTTCCTCTATAACTCTCCTCTCCTGACATACTCTGCTCTGCTGGAGGACTCTGCTCCTTCCTCTACAACTCTCCTCTCCTGATATACTCTCCTCTGCTGGAGGGCTCTGCTCCTTCCTCTATAACTCTCCTCTCCTGACATACTCTGCTCTGCTGGAGGACTCTGCTCCTTCCTCTACAACTCTCCTCTCCTGATATACTCTCCTCTGCTGGAGGGCTCTGCTCCTTCCTCTATAACTCTCCTCTCCTGACATACTCTGCTCTGCTGGAGGACTCTGCTCCTTCCTCTACAACTCTCCTCTCCTGATATACTCTCCTCTGCTGGAGGGCTCTGCTCCTTCCTCTATAACTCTCCTCTCCTGACATACTCTGCTCTGCTGGAGGACTCTGCTCCTTCCTCTACAACTCTCCTCTCCTGATATACTCTCCTCTGCTGGAGGGCTCTGCTCCTTCCTCTATAACTCTCCTCTCCTGACATACTCTGCTCTGCTGGAGGACTCTGCTCCTTCCTCTACAACTCTCCTCTCCTGATATACTCTCCTCTGCTGGAGGGCTCTGCTCCTTCCTCTATAACTCTCCTCTCCTGACATACTCTGCTCTGCTGGAGGACTCTGCTCCTTCCTCTACAACTCTCCTCTCCTGATATACTCTCCTCTGCTGGAGGGCTCTGCTCCTTCCTCTATAACTCTCCTCTCCTGACATACTCTGCTCTGCTGGAGGACTCTGCTCCTTCCTCTACAACTCTCCTCTCCTGATATACTCTCCTCTGCTGGAGGGCTCTGCTCCTTCCTCTATAACTCTCCTCTCCTGACATACTCTGCTCTGCTGGAGGACTCTGCTCCTTCCTCTACAACTCTCCTCTCCTGATATACTCTCCTCTGCTGGAGGGCTCTGCTCCTTCCTCTATAACTCTCCTCTCCTGACATACTCTGCTCTGCTGGAGGACTCTGCTCCTTCCTCTACAACTCTCCTCTCCTGATATACTCTCCTCTGCTGGAGGGCTCTGCTCCTTCCTCTATAACTCTCCTCTCCTGACATACTCTGCTCTGCTGGAGGACTCTGCTCCTTCCTCTACAACTCTCCTCTCCTGATATACTCTCCTCTGCTGGAGGGCTCTGCTCCTTCCTCTATAACTCTCCTCTCCTGACATACTCTGCTCTGCTGGAGGACTCTGCTCCTTCCTCTACAACTCTCCTCTCCTGATATACTCTCCTCTGCTGGAGGGCTCTGCTCCTTCCTCTATAACTCTCCTCTCCTGACATACTCTGCTCTGCTGGAGGACTCTGCTCCTTCCTCTACAACTCTCCTCTCCTGATATACTCTCCTCTGCTGGAGGGCTCTGCTCCTTCCTCTATAACTCTCCTCTCCTGACATACTCTGCTCTGCTGGAGGACTCTGCTCCTTCCTCTACAACTCTCCTCTCCTGATATACTCTCCTCTGCTGGAGGGCTCTGCTCCTTCCTCTATAACTCTCCTCTCCTGACATACTCTGCTCTGCTGGAGGACTCTGCTCCTTCCTCTACAACTCTCCTCTCCTGATATACTCTCCTCTGCTGGAGGGCTCTGCTCCTTCCTCTATAACTCTCCTCTCCTGACATACTCTGCTCTGCTGGAGGACTCTGCTCCTTCCTCTACAACTCTCCTCTCCTGATATACTCTCCTCTGCTGGAGGGCTCTGCTCCTTCCTCTATAACTCTCCTCTCCTGACATACTCTGCTCTGCTGGAGGACTCTGCTCCTTCCTCTACAACTCTCCTCTCCTGATATACTCTCCTCTGCTGGAGGGCTCTGCTCCTTCCTCTATAACTCTCCTCTCCTGACATACTCTGCTC